CTGCATGTGTCCTAAGCTGTAACCAGAAAAGAACATAATTAGCATGGAGTTTAGTGACGTGTGCTCCTGTATCATTCCTCAAAAAAACACAGCTTGAGGTTTTAAATAACAAAAAAATAGGAAAAGCACTTCTGGTCATACCTGAGGGTCATTGTTTTAATGTGTTCCAATGAAGATAAGGACTGAGCTAAGAAAAACACAGAGTTCAGGGAGATCTGGTTGTCATCAAGCCTACAGAAAGAAGAGATTAAATCAGCTGCTGCAAGTGAAACTAGAAGCAATTTATACCCCATCACACAGTAATAGTGACCCTTGTCCAGCACTCTCAGACTGCTTCTTTGCTACCTTCTGCCTGTTTCCAACTACAGTTCGGCAAACACAACTCGCTCCAGTGTCTTTTAACTTTGTCCCTCACTTTTAGAGTTTGGAGAATCACAGAATATCTAAGGCTGGAATGGAACTCTAGAGCTGCTCTAGTCAAACCGTCCTGCTCAGAGGAGGGTTAGACTAGAGCAGACTGCTCAGGACATTGTACTGCTGGGTTTTTAACCCCTCCAGAGATGGAGAATCCACAGACTCTCAGGGATATTTTCTAGTGATAGACCATACACACCACACAAGGTTTTTCTTATTGCTAGATGGAATTCCTTGTGTTTCAAGACACCAGTGCAAGGCAAAACCAACTCTTTGGCTGTAAGTGCAGGTGCGGCAGTACAAAACCCACCCTAATAGGATCATGCTCAGATCTGTTAGGTCTAACACAGTGTCTAGTGTGACTGTGGGCAGTGTGCTTGATGCTGGGATAAAAGCCCCAGATAAACAAGAGCAGTGTGTGCCATTGCACTGATGTGGAGAGAAGCTGCAGACTGTCAGTAACTGTAATGGTATTGGCTTGAGAACAGCTCAATTAATCAAACAAGAACAACAAATATTTCTTTCAATAAAGCAGAATGGTGCTGTACTCCTTAAGCCACAGTCCAGTATAATGCAATTGCAATGGGAGTGCCAGGTAGAATACCCAGATAAACATAAGCCACTAATGCAAATGACTTCAGACTCCACCACTGAAGCTGCAGCTCCCCAGCACTTCACTTCCAAGGCTGTCCCACTCAGGAGAGAAAGCACTGCTCCCCCTCCCAATGAGGAATGGGAGAGGAAAAATTCAGTGACCTGCTAAACACCTCAGGCAGTTTTGGAAACAAGGCACCACACCTCACACAAGGCCACCTGTCCCTTCATGCAGGACCTAGTACAGAGGCTCTCAGGCACTGATGGCAACCAAGCTACAAGTGGAGTCAACTTGTTCTGGACTAGAGGTGGCATCAGACCAGACAGCACAGTGGATCTGCTCTCAACACTGAATATTACTGCACTTGGTCCTGAAGAGACCTTCCCAAATGTGGACTGTGCTTCCACAAGCAATACTTCCATAAAACCCAATCCATGAATAAGGAGAAACAGGAGCTACTCACTTGAAAGAACTTAGCATTTTCAGATTTGGGAGGCACTGAAACAGCTGCAGAAGTCCCTTGTCTCCCAGACAATTTCTTGATAGGCTAGGATTGAAAGAAAGGCATTTAATTTTCATAGAAAAAAAACCAACAGGCACCATCAGCTTTTAGTAACAAGAGCTCTGAAAGCAGAGCGTGGGAACTCTAACCAAAACAATACTAATGACTAAAGCCTACAGGGAAACCAGAGATAGGGATCAACCAACACAGGACAGCCAGAAACCTAGCTCAGGGCTCATTCATTTCTCATGTCCACCCTTGTGGATTCACAGTGCTTTTTATTGCAGTTTCCATGGACCAGAAGTCCACAGCTCTGAGAAATGATCAGCCTGGACAGGCACAACAGAGGAGTCAGGAGTTAGTCCTGTGAAAGGTATATTAGGCTCTGATATTAGAGCCTAAGGATTATAATCCTTATGGCCCATGAGAGATCATAGGACACAATTGCTTGAGGAAAGAAAAGGCTAAAAATCTATTCCACAGGATGCCAGGGAAAGGCACAGCCATCCCTCTGGTGGTGGAACATAGACTACATGCTTGTGTTGGCCCTTGTTCTGGCCCCAAAACCTGGATGTTGGGAGGTGTTTGCTAGCCTTACCATCAGGGCTGGATCTGCTCACCTCTGGGTGCTAGCAAACAGTATGACACCCCCCCCCCCCCATCATGCTAACACAAGAAAGCACTTTTGTGCTGAAGGTCCTTGCTCACCATATGTGGAATCACTAGCAAAACACAAGCTCCCACCCTCTATTTGGGATTCCTTGGCCTCTGCAGCTTTGCTACCCAATGGCCCAAGGGCAAAAAGAGCAGGGCAGGGTTTTACAGCTTTTGTAATACCTGAAGTCTGTCTCAGTGATCAAATAGCCAGCCCTTTTCTAGATCTATGTCCTGCAGCCTTTTGCACTGTCTCCTTGGCAAAGGCTGTTAGCCTGTGTAAGGCTATGCCTTTCACCAGGCTACATCTCTACCACCTTCTCTACACAGCACTGCAGAACAGACAAGTGGCATTTTCTCAGCATCCCAAAGAACTGCAAATAAAGACCATTGGAGTTAAGAAGGACTCACTCCAGCTCAGAGATGCAGCTACACTCCTTCAGGACTGCACACAGTTTCTTCAGGTCACTGGCTTGAAAATTACTGTCTGTCAGTCTAGGAAAGAAGAGAAATAAATCATCCAGGTCTGCAGGATTGCAAACAAGATTGTAAACTCCACTCATTCAGAAAACTAGAGAATAAATGAGGAGATAATAATGTAATGAAATTAAAAAATCCCCTTGAAATAACTCATTGTTCACTGACTCCTGCAGAGGCTCTAGGTGACCAGGCACCCTCTACCTGGTGCTGCAGGTCTCAGTGCCCTTTGTTAGGCACAGGGTGGGCACCAGGTCACAGCCCCTTGCCAGGGGTTCCAGCCAATCCCCCCACCCAGGGCACAACCTGCAGCTCCCATGGCAGCTGCCAGCACTGCGGATATTCCTCAACATTTTCCAGTTCTGTTGTGATTCACCATTTGGAGCTGCAGGTTACATTTGCTGTAGGATCCAGTGATAGGACTGTCATGATATACAATGAAAATTTGCCAGGGTACCTTATTTTTTGGGGACTGGGAGGTGTCTGGTTTTCCTCTCCATGTTGTTGGTCATCAGCAGAGAACAAAGGCTCTTCCCTAAGTGAGCACAAAACCAGACAAAGGTAAACCACTCATGCTTTAGCAATTTGGCAGATCCCTGGGCTACCCTGGCCCTAGCCCACACCCATATCTCACCAATAGTGAGCTCTCCTTTGCTAACCAAATATTTGGGCATGCAAACAACTGAGTAGAAAGGGGAAAAGACACTCCTATCTAATCTACCGTTTGATGGAGAATTCAGCTTATGCCTCAACATGTTTTATGAAGAGTCCATGTCTGAAAAACTCTGTTCATAATTAAGTGGAACAAGCGAATCCTAAAATATCAGAGTTTGAAATGTCACCTGGTGCCTTAAAGGAGTCCACAGATCATGTGTCTCAAAAGCTCTCACTCTCTTTCAAGCATAGCCACACCAACTGGGTGGTACCCCATGGTAGCCCTGCTGTTCCTCCCTGGATAAGAGGCAAGATGCAGGTGTACCGTGGGAAATGCTATTCTCAGTCCATGGAGAACAAGGGCATAAGTAATGAACCTAAAGATTCAAGAGAAACAGGAAACCATTTCTTGGTCAAAGCATTTGGGTCAAGCTGTTCTGACCATTATTTTTCTCAGGGGAAAAATAAAATGCCAAACTTCTTTTGATTTAAGAGTACCATGATCCAGAATGCACAGAGCAATGAAGTAGATGGTTTTAAACATGCAGAGATCTGTGAATCTTTTCAGAATTTGGTTTGGAGGTATGAGATTCACTTGGTTTTTCATTGCTTACTATTATCAAATAGCATGGCTGTCACTGAACACTCTGCTTTGTGTAGGATGTTGTGGGTTGAAACGTCCTCTAGAGACATAAAACACTACAGAAGGCAGTAACAAGTTCTAAAGTGGCTGAGAAAACCAGAAGACAGCTCTACATTTAGATTCCGAGGTGTGGGGGTGTGGGCAGGAACTGCTATGAGATGGAGTGTTACCCTTGGTACCTACACAGGATGCAAGAACTAAACAAGATGCTGAGAAAACACCATTTGTGCACAAACTCTACCTAGGAGGAAGAGGAGCAAATTCTCTGTCTTCTGAGAACCTCAGGACTGCAGCATCAAGACAAAGGCTGTGAAGAAGAGAAGGAATCAATCAATGTCACATTTTGGGTAATTTACAGGACTTCTTGTTTTATAAATTTTTGATTGTGTTCTGAAAAAAAACCTCTGCTGACACCAATCACTTGAAACAGTCCCAAAGCAAGCAAAACAATCTCCATTGTTTTTAAATCCTAGTTAGATCAAACCATGCAATATCAGACAATCCAGTTTCCCTGAATCATTAGAGAAAGTGCAGACAGAATTGTTACACTTGAACTCCAGTGGGTTTTCAAGTGAAAGTGAGAGGAGAGAACTTGCAGCTCTATTCCAGGAGGTGTCACCAGTTCTCATACTCCACAGAGATTCTGCCTCCAAAACTTCCTAAGGCAGAGTATGGAAGTGTCTAAAACTTCCCACACACATGAAAGGACACACAGTTCTGTACTCTCTCAAATTCTGGTCAACAGCTCTAATAAAATCAGCTCTACAGTATCACCAAGTGCCAGCGTTAGTAACCACCTTGGGACATGTTCTGCACCTGCCCCATTTCTGAGGTGACTCCACAAAACCCTCAGAACATAACTCTCAGACTTGTATATATTGGGATTAACCCCAGGAATTATTCCAGACCTACATACCTGACTTGGACCTCCATCACCTTCTGGCAGGTATTCACTGACTTCAACAGGCTGCAAATGCCAGTAACAGAGAGGTGGTTTTGACTGAGACTAAGAAAGGGAAAAAAAGGCAATTAGCTGGTCCCTGAAACCACGCAGAACTGTCCTAGGGGAAGCAGCAATCAGTGTGCTGCATGCTTGAACCCATTTCACTTCAGAAATCCCAGGGTGGAAAACACACAGGACCAGTGCTCCTGAGGAAGGGCTTCTAACAAAAGGGCACTTCAGATGCATTTAGACCCATTTCCATGTGTGATGCTCTGAACAAGTGACCAAAATCAGCTTGAATAGTCTCATGGGCTGAGTTTCATCCTTCCTTAAGAGTGCTCAAAGCTGCTTCTGTAGCACTGATCTGAGTGAGGCTTTTACCTCCTGCATCCCTGCTCAGCATCCTGTATGGTCCTTGCCAGACTCAAGAAAAGAGGGTGAGCTGGGTTTGCACAAAGCAATACTTACTCCAGCTGCTTTGAGATTGATATCCAAGGGAGGTTTTCCAGCAGACAACTACAGCCTTCATCTCCAAGACTGTTACCTGATAAACTGAAATATCTTCCAGTTAGTGGGGACTGTTTTGAACAGTATAAGCAACAGTGTGTTCAAAATCTGCTTGCTTCCCCTTTCCTAAAATTGTTTGGGGTTTTTTTTTGCCTGGACTGTTCTTCTGTTCCAGCTGAAGCTTCCCTGCTTATCTCTGTATGAATCAATTTCAGACAGAGAGTTTTATTCCTAGCGCCCAAACCATCTTATTTTAGATAATCTAATTTGAAGCACAAAAGAGGAAGCAAATGAGTGAGTGTTTAATGTCCTCCTGGAAGAAATGAAGGCAAAAGACACTGGATGACAAAGATCTCCAGATCCCAATTCAAATCAGCAATCTAGAAAACTAGGGTTTGAGGAATTGCTAAATTCAGGATACAGTTGGACTGAAATATCTTGCAACAGATATTCCTGCATTTTCAAGGGCAGGTGGACTAGAAGAAGAGCTTTACAGTCAAATCCAGGTGGCCTCATATACAGGTAAATAAGGAAAGGTAGAGTTGATACTTATTGCAATGTGCAGGTTATGAGGTGGATCTCTTGCCTCCCTCCACTGACTTCTCCCAATAAAGCTGGATGGCCTTAGAAGACAAAAGGGTCAACACAGGAGCAACCTGTGTCCCGCCACTGTCTTAGAGGATTTGCTGGAACAACTGTGCCTTCTGGACAGCTCCATACTGCCTCCAGCATGCAGTGCTGCTTCCTTGGAGGGACTGCTCTGGAGCTGGAATGTCTGGGTTCAGTCTCAGGGAGCCAGATCATGAAGGTGCCACAGGAATCTAAGGCTGCTCAGCATTCATCTCCTGCTGA